TCGCTTTGAACACAGAGGCTATTCTACAAAGGTTCTCAGTAGAACTTTGGGAACAGCTAGAAGACAATGTGATTTGCTGATTGATAAAAAAAAAGTGTCCAGAACTCATGACGTACCTGTTTTTTTCAACTTCGTACAGTGCTGAGTTTAGTAAAATCGAAAATATAGTAGAAAGGTATTTACTGATGCTATTTAATGATTCTATGTATACAGGGGCAGACTGACCATTTGGAAACTCGGGCACTATCCGAGGGCCCGGGGTCGGTAGGGGGCCCCATGAGATGCCCCTGGTACCTTTTTCATAGGCTTTTTTGAGTTTGGGCAAGGACACAGGGGCCCCATGATCCTCTATTGCCCTGGGGTCCCATGAGTTGTCAGTCCGTCCCTATATGTATACTAAGGTTTTGGCCAAAGATATTAGAACGGTCTCTCATAGAGCACCTACTTTGAGTGGGTATCTGTCCCCCAGTTTGTATTCCAGCAAAACTACCACACCCTCTCATTGGCTCCAATTAAAAGGCATGTTTAAATGTGGGGTTTACAATTATCCTTCTTGTTCTCATGTGAAAGAAGGTAATATCGTACATTCCATGAGCAATGATAAGGATTTTAAGACCTTTTCCTTTATTAATTGCAACGCAAAAAGTTTGGTTTATGTCATTACTTGTAAACTTTGTTCCATTACCAGGAGCCCTAGGGATCATAGAGACTTGATCCATTGCTTGTAGAGATGCCTTAAACTTCACGTATATTGGAGGGGAGTGAAGTCCTTAAGTCCTTAAGACCATTAATAAAGTATTTCGGGTTACCCTTGGGGAGTGCCCTAACATTGTCTTTTGGGAATTCTGCCTAATTTTCAGGAGGAGGACTTACATAAACAGGGAATTACTAGGGCTCTTTTCCAAGCTCAGAAACTAATTCTTAGACACTGGAAGTCAGTGGACCGACCCACTCTAAAAGACTGGATCACTCAAATAGGTAACACGGTGTGTTTGGAAAAATAAGTATAACTACATAGAAGGTGTCCTGGAAAATTTTACAATATATGGTCCTCGTGGATGGACTGGGTTATCCCCGACAGATTTAATCTTAGACAAACTATTTAAATTGCTATATCTCCCCCTGGTATACAAAGTTGCTAGTATGCTGTCCTCAGATATCATTGTAAGTAAACGAAAAAGCTACTGGGGCTACCATATATACAATGCCATGGATTTGATTTTTGATGGAGCTGATCCATGTATATTCAATAATATTTTTACCATGTAAATGTTCTTATGTTGTTTTCAATAAAACTTCTTTGAGAAAAAAAAAACTTTGTTGCACACAGTATGTGGGTCGTACCAGATTGAGGGATCGGTTGCATGATCATCTGCATAACATAAGTAAGAAACACTCTACTAATATTGCAAATCACTTTAATGGATGTCATGGTGGTGATGTCTCAGCATTAGACATACAAGGGATGGAAAAAATTGTAGATCCTATAAGAGGGGGGACAAGTTCAGGCTGTTTACCAAAAAAAAATAAGTTTCTGGATCTAAAGCCCTTAGGGTTAAATCATGAGTGGGATGTTTCATATTATTATGAATAAGAGAATGTATGGCTCATATTTATGATTTGATTTGATTTTGAATGATCGTTCTATGTGCATCTCTCTTACTCAACACCCAACAAACTGTATATGCATATACAGTATATATACATAGGCTTTTCTTAATCATGTGTATGATACTGGGGTTTATTTACTAAAGCTGGTTCACCCAGAATCTCGTGCACCTGTTCATGGTAGCCAATCAGCTTCTAACCTCAGCTTGTTCAATTAAGCTTTAGCAATAAAAACTTATAGCTTAATAGTTTCTGTGCAGAAGTGCACAAGATTCTGAGTGAACCAGCTTTAGTAAATAAACTCCACTGTGTTCTAATGTTTTTAACCACGTACCCTCCTGAGGATTTATCCCCCTTCCTGACCAGGCCATTTTTTGAGTTACGGCGCTGCGCTATTTTAACTGGCAATTGTGCAGTCATGCTATGCTGCACCCAAATGAAATTTACGGATTTGATCACTTTTTATAGGTATGAGGGCCTTCGTAGTGCATATGCATGTTGAATGAGGCTCACTGTTTTACAACGCAATATTTTACTAAACATAAACTCACTTTGAATTGTCTAGATTTGGGAGCTATCTTTTAACTATCATACATCTATTCTGACAAGTAAAGAAAGCAATATGTCAATTTACAATATCAGTTTTATACGTATAGCAGATTAAAATTCGGGTCTAGTAACACATCAAAAGTTTTGAGAATATAACCATGCTAATTGATTTCAATGGAATGCATTTTTTATTCTCAAAGGAAGAACAAATTTTGTATTACTCATTTTCCATATAAAATCTACAGTAGACTCTGCAGACTTTCTTTAAAAGATTTAAAACAAAAGCGAAAATATGGTATGGATCAAACATGATGTTCCTGAAATATGTTACTGTGAAGTTGTACTTTTGTGAAAACGTCATTTAGACATTTTGCAGTTTAGTAACTACTCATGTTATTGATACTGCCAGTAAAAATGTTATCTACAAATATAATGTGACTAGTTAGTTAGATATCCCATAAGCAAAATACCTCAAACACATTACGCACATCATTTTAAGATTTCACCAAAGAGGAAACAAAACAAAGCTATTGCTTTTTGTGATCAGGACCTAATGCTGATAAAGGGTTATATAAAAAAAAACTGGTCACTTTCAAGGCTTTTCAATACCTTCTCATATCTGGATGTTCTAAGGTCAGACCTCTTTTTGCTGGTCTAAGAGAATACTTTGATGATCTTATGAAGGAATAGAAAACTGGTCACCTCAGGGGCACTATGACACAATGGTGTAGCACATAGAATTCAGTGAAGGCTTGAAATAAAACTGCAAAGGGATCAACAAACATGAACTACATTTTTTCAAAGAGATTACAAAAGTAGGATACATAAATACCCAAGACCTTTTTCAGATGGATACACTCAATGTAGATGATATTGAATTGTAAAGGCAGATAGATATGTGATCAGCATGACATTGCCCACAAAATACATACAATGTACATATCTGGGATTTTTTTCTATTAGACACTTAATGTTTCTGAAAATGAAAGGTTTTCAATGCATTTGGAAAACGGCAAGAAAACTAGCGGTGGTGAATGTTTCCACCCATTGATTCCTGATTTGATCCTTCAGACCTTTGCCTGTTGAAAATATGAACATGCCCAGAGGTAAAGTAAATATGATGGTTGTATAATGATGTTATTTGCATTGCAAAGAACAAAAAAAACAGACATTATCTATCTATAATGCATACATCTAATATAATACAGTTAATTAAAATAAAGTTACTAAAGCATTTTTGTGCTGTCGGAATGCTTCTAATACAATATATCTCTCTCTATCCATTCAGTCATATCCGACCCTTGGCGATTGCATGGACCATCACTCGTAAGCGACTTTTTCCATGAATTCTCTTAGCAATTATTTTACAGGGTAGGTTGCCAGGTCTTTCCCCAACCCCTACCATGCAGGAGATCCTGCATGGCCAGGGATGAAACTAGGACAATTTAGACAGGAGCCAATTAACCTACCAGCAAGTCTTTGGAGTGTGGGAGGAGACTGGAGTACCCGGAGGAAACCCACGCAAGCACAGGGAGAACATGCAAACTCTATGCAGGAGGTGCCATGGTTGGGAATTGTCCCCATGACCCACTTAGTGCAAGGCAGACGTGCTAACCACTAAGCCACTGTGCCACCCAATACAATATATAGTGCATCATGAACAGATAAAAAAATAAAGTCCTACAAATAAAATATCAAAGTTTACCAAAAGTATGCAAAATCTTCATGCAGCAGTTGTGCACCAACCACCAAGTGATTATAATGCTGCTTACCAAATCCTTAGATCCCACAACTCAAGAGGTCTAAGTCAGCCTTTAAAACATGAGAAATTATCATGTGGATGGATGAATCCAGCTCTCTTCCTTTCACACCTCAGCAAGTCTCAATCCTCACTCATCTCGTGAATGTAATGCTCCAAAAGTGGTCACTGAATTTCTTTTCATATTTTTTTTTCAGTTGTCTTTCGATATTTATGTGTGAATATCAATGAGTGCTGTAGTCAGGATTTCTGCTTTCTCACCTTCATTTAAATTGATTGAATAGTTTGCCAAGTACGGTTTAAAGTGTTACTAAACCCAGGACAAAAGGGATAACAGGCGCATGGTGTGGCAGTCCATGTATGTTTGATGAGTTCCAAATGGGCAGGGGTGAAGGTAGTCCAGTAGGCACTAAGGGCAAGCTACGTAGGAGCAAAGCATAACTCTGCAGAAGGGAAACAAAGAAACACAGTGCCTCTAAGTGTGTACTGTGAAGGTATTTAATAGAAAGATAAGTAGTAACTCATATCTAAGAATTTAAAAACAGGCTCATGGGTTAGAGGGTGAGACATCTGTAGCCAGATGTTGTGTAACTGATCCAGAGAGGAGATCGATTGAGTCCGCCAGCAGGTGGTGCTCTGCATGTGCAACATGGATGGTAAGCCTGGTGGAATCTCCAAGGTGTCTGCCAGCAGATGGTGCTGTGCATATGCAGCCTGATGAAAGAGCTCGCCTGAACTCATCTCGTCCTGCACATGCTCAGAAATGCGTCGCATGTTGATGACGTCAGACGCTACATGTGCTGATCCCGGACATCTTGGAGACTCTGCCAGGCTTCACCATCTATGCTGCATATGCATAGCACCATCTGCTGGCAGACACCTTGGAGATTCCACTAGGCTTACCATCCATGTTGCACATGCACAGCACCACCTGCTGGTGGACTCAATTGATCTCCTCTCTGGATCAGTCAGCCTGTTTTTAAATTCTAAGATGTGAGTTACTACTTATCTTTCTATTAAACACCTTGACAGTACACACTTAGAGGCTTTGTGTTTCTTTGTTTTATTAAACCCAGGATCCTGCATTCACTCTATCTGGTCTCCCACAGTACACAGAACATGGAAATGCAATTATTTTAGTAAATATAAACTGCTAATTACCTTTTCTCATCAGCAGTATATAGCAGTCTTGAGACTTCAGCAGAACACTGGTAAAGCTTGTAGGAGGAGTTTTCTCTCTGCTCTAGGAGGAAGCAAAACCCCTGACCTTCTGTCTGGACAGTGCTGATTGGCCCTGTGCTGATCACATGCATCCTCCCCAAAAAAAAAAACCTCTCTAGCAATACACACAAAACTGAGCATGTGCATGTGTCTATAGGTTCAGTCTGTCTTATCAGGTGGACATCTGAGCAAGAAGAGGGGCAGAGAAAACAGGATCAAATTTCCTTTCTACACAATGGAGAGGACTAACCCTTTAGGCTCCACAGTGAGTATAACCAGCATGCGTTATTGCATATACAGACTGATTTTACTGTTGTGGGTTTAGTAACATTTTAAGTACAGCAATATAATATTTTTATAATTTATAAAAGTATACACCCAAACAATCAGCTGAACTCCAGGTAGATATACATGGCACAACTGTATACAGCTCTGTATTCATTAATACTTCTTTAAAGTGGTTCTAAAGGCTCAAGGTTTTTCACCTTCCTGTATTCTATGCATGAAGGTAAAAAACCTTCTGTGTGCAGTGGGCCCCCCCCCCCCCAATCCTTACCTGAGCCCTCTCCAATTCAGCAACGTCCTCAACAACCTCTGCTTTATGGGGACTCTTCCTCCTCATTGGCTCCCGCTACTGTCAATCACAGCCAGTGAGTCAATAAGAATAGAGCAGGGGGCCGAGCCACTGCTCTATGTGTCTTATGGACGCATAGAGCAGCAGCTCAGGGATTGCAGCTATTCTCTGGTCATTCACAGTTTATGACACTCAGGAGATCAGCGGAGAACATGTTCAGCCCTTCACTGGAGATCTGTGTTCTCCCTCCAGATTCTCCAGCCCAGAGCTTTTACTGTAATCTCACGAGATTATAGTAAAATCAGCCGTTTTCCAGCGTTTGTAGACCGTTCTCCAGCGTTTGTAGACCGTTCTCCCTTCGGAGGAGAACTGCTTCATAAAAGGCATTCATAGGAGAACTGTGTTCTCTGAGAATGTCGGAGAACTGAGCAGTGATCATTTACCACTGGTTCATAAACGGACACCATAGTCTCTATTCTAGTTGTTTTTTTTTGTTGAAATGACTTAGTTTGGCTAGTATGATTTCTGCCTATATTGTTTCTTCTGATTTTGGAAATAATTCTATAAGAAAATGGTCGCTGTTGTCTTATATAGTCCTTTGGACTGCAGTAAAATGGTACTGGAACTGTAGGATATAGGATAATGGGCTACATAATGATGGCCCTTTAGATGAACGTTTATACCCCTGAAGACTCGCTATCGCGCAAAATGGCGTCGGGTTGAGGTATACTGCTAGAGGTCACTCCACCATTTCTTGCTGGTCTGGTGGCTTTCTGTGTAAGTCACATACAGCAGTATTTGTATTTTAAACTGTTTTGCTGTGCTGATTACCGTTTTATATTAAAAATACTACACTATGAGGAGTTTTTTGTTTGTTGGTGAATCCTTGATGGTGTGAGTGCGTTTTACCCCTGGAGGTCTGGAGGTGAGGACGGATGCTGACCCCTGGCTGCACAGAGGATTTTATCTTGGATCTTGGGAGAGAGAGAGAGTGCTACCATGCCAAAAGCGTATATTGCTGTTCTATGATTAGACAGAAAAACCTTCTGGTGAGTTTGTATTTTACCTAAAGGTGGAGACAACACTACCAGGTGTGAATCACACCGTGGATATTGCCTTTATTTGAACACTGGAACTGCTTCTATGTTGTTACAGCATTTAATGTATTGATTATTGGACACTGGATGCACTATATTGGACTTTTGCTTACTTCTGTATTTTCACTTGTTTATACTCAAAGCTATTTGTGTAGATTTATATTTATTTTAGCGCTGCAATCTTTCATGTGATTTTTCTAGTTATGGTGGTATATCTACAATCATTGCAAGCAGCTATACATTAATATTGTTTTTGGTTTAGCACTGACTTTTCACATTTATTTACATTTACTTGCAAGTGTGCCTTTCTCTCTCTATCCTGTGATAACCCTTGATATTGACTACATATAGTCACCTGCAGAGCCTCAAGCAGATACAAAGAGAACATTTGTCCTTGAGTCATTGAAATTGGGAGATACATGCATTGTATAACTGATGCTGCTCTTTATACATCAGTTTTGTGTTGACTTTATATTCCCTATGGAAAAACTAGTATCTTTTCTTCTCTTTTCTTTTTTTTTTTTCTTTATCTCTATTCATTTTTTTCTTCAGTGTACAATAGATATATACAATATCATTACATTTCATAATTAAACCCACTCCCCCACCCCCAAAAATAAACGAATAAAATAAAATGAATCTATAAAATGAACCCAGTCCCCCCAGTGTACACTTTCAGAATTTATTACCCTTCCTCTACACTCAGGGGTTGATTTACTAAAACTGGAGAATGCAAAATCTGGTGCAGCTATGCATTCTGGCTAATCAGGTTCTAAACTTCAGCTTGTTCATTTGGCAATAAAACCTGGAAACTGATTGGTTTCTGTGCACAGCTTGCACGCTCCCATTTTAGTAAACAACCCCCATAGTCTCTACCTAACCACCTCCTACACGCCTACTTTTCCTATTCCTTTCACTTTCTCTTATACCCCCATCAACTCTGCATATGTTTCTGATTTTTTAAATTTAAGACACCTCTCCCATGTTTGTAAAGTGGTTGTAAAGTCTGAAGGTTTTTTAACCTTCATGCAGCCCCCCCCCCCAATACTTACCTGAGCTTTCCCAGGTCTCTCATTCCTCATTGGCTAAGACACAGCAGCTGGAGCCATCTGTTTCTGCTGCTGTCAATCACAGCCTGTGAGGGGGGGAGCTGGGGGTAGGAGATTGGGCAATGCTCTGTGTGTCCCATAAACACACAGAGGCTTTGGGAACAAGCAAGCATGAGTGCCCCCAGTGTAAGCAGCTTGCTCTAGGGGCACACGGCAAGGGAGAGGAGCCAAAAACACCAGCTGGGGTCATAAGAAGAGGAGGATCAGGGCTGCTCTGTGCAAAAACACTACAGAGAGCAGGGAAGTATGACGCAGGGGCGAACTGACAACTCATGGGGCCCCCGGGCAATAGGAGATCATGGGGCCCCCTGTGTCCCTGCCCACTCAAGCCGCACCCACACAAAGCCCCACCTACATATTACACTGCCTGCAATACATGCGTTTGTCACAGAATTTCTCTACAGTATGTTCAAAATAAATGTTTATTACACAAAATAAAGAAAAAAAAACTTTCATTAAAGAGAGCGCAACAATGCTACATTTCAAAATGAAGGTTTTAATTAATTTTTCCTATTCCTTCCACTGACACCAATGATAGGGAACTATTCCTCCCACGGACGCCAATGATGGGACACTATTCTTCCCACTGATACCAATGACGGGGCACTATTTCTCCCACTGATACCAATGATGGGGCACTATTCTTCCCACTGGCACCAATGATAGTACATTATTCCTTTCATTGACATGAATGATAAGGCACTATTCATCCCACTGATACCAATGATGGGGCACTATTCCTCCCACTGATACCAATGATGGGGCATTTTCCTCCCACTGATACCAACGATGGGACACTATTCCTCCCATTGACACCAAAGGCGGGATGCTATTCCTCCCCCTAATACTAAAGATGCATGGTTTACTCCCACTGATGCCAGGACAATTTCTGATCCCAAAGACCACAGTCTGGCCCCCAAAAACCTGAAGGACAGTAACCTGGCCCTTTGATCTAAATTTGGGGTCTCCGAACTTTCTAAACAAAGCATATTCCTGTGTTAGAATGGCCCAATCACAGTCCAGACCGAAATCCAGTGGAGAATCTGTGACCAGACCTGAAAATTGCTGTTCCCAGACGCTCTCCATCCAATGATAGAGCTTGAGTGATTCTGCACAGAAGAATGGGCAGAAATGTCCCTCTGCAGATGTGCAAAGCTCGGAGAGACGTCCCCAAAAAGACTTGCAGATGGAATTGCAGCCAAAGGGTCTTCTACAAAATACTGACTCCAGGGGGCCGAATACAAATGCCGCCACAGATTTATTGGTCACAAATGTTGGAACCATTTATCATTTTCCTTCCACTTCGCAATTATGTGCCACTTTGGGTTGGTCTATCACATTCAATCCCAATAAATACATTGTAACTTGACAACATGGGGGACATTTCAGGGGGGGAATACACTGTAACATGACAACATGGGGGACATTTCGGGGGGGGGAATACATTGTAACATGACAACATGGAGGACATTTCAGGGGGGAATACATTGTAACATGACAACATGGGGGACATTTCAGTCGTGAGGAAGACTTTTTCAAGCCACTGTATATATCACTGATATCTGTACACTGAGTGCTATTCCTTATATATAACACTGAAAACTGTACACTGGGTGCCACTCAGTGTACAGATATCACTGTTTTATATAGGGAATATAGAATAGAAGACTACTATTAACCCCTTGCCTACAGGGCACTTATACCCCTTTCCTGCCCAGGCCAATTTTCAGCTTTCAGCGCTGTTACACTTTGAATGACAATTGCACGGTCATGCAACACTGTCCCTGTATGAAATTTTTATAATTTGTTTGAGACAGATAGAGATTTTTTTGCTAAACTAACCAAAAAACAACTGAAAATTTTGAAAAAAAAAGTTATTTTTCTTAGTTTCTGTTATAAATTTTGTAAATGAGTAATTTTTCTCCTTCACTGATGTGCGCTAATGAGGCTGCAGTGATGGGCACTGATAAGGCGGCACTGATGGGCATTGATAGGCGGCACTGATGGGCACTGATGAGGACGCACTGGTAGGTGGCACTGATGGGCATTGATAGACATCACTGATGGGCACTGAAAGGCAGTACTCATATATGGCACTGATAGGCGGCACTGATAGGCAGCACTGACTGGCATTGTTAGGTGGCACTGATGGGCACTGATAGGCGGCACTGATTGGCAGCACTCATAGGCGGCACTGTGGCAGGCGCAGCACCCTTTGGTGCCTAGTGCGCTGTGGTATTAGAAAAATTATGCAATTGCTGTTTCTTTTTGTTGATTAGACTGACTTTACTCTGTAATTCCTTCAATGCCGCTCTATGGATGCAGTAGGTTTAAAGAGCACACCGAATACTTTAGTTAACTTCTTTAATAACTTCAATCTTCTTCATATAACACTGCTTACAATGGCTTGTTTCTTTCATATTACAATGGTTTAACTTGTATTACATTGGGTTGATTCGATAGATTGATAAATTCACTTGGATTTATAAATTCGATATATTTGATAAGTTTGTTCGTAAATTCGATTTGCTATATTCGATTCGGT